GAAAGCAAAAAATGTCGGCAAATACCATCAAATTTTAGAATAAGTTTCGATTTGTTCGAATTGGTCACCTTTGGCACGAATTATGGCCTTCAAACGGTCACACGCTGCCCGAATGTTGCTCTGCGGTATTTTGGGCCATTCCCGGATGGTACGAGACACATTTAAATGCTGGAGTGCTCTAACGATAGCCACTTGTGGTTTTCCAACCAAATATAAAGAATTCATACTATCACGCTTGAATTCCATCACAAATAACTTTAACTCTGGAAAATTCTCACCAAAATGTTTTTTTTTGTACGCTTGTAAATAATATAATGAGCTGAGAAATTACAGCAGTCTGAAGTTGGTTCCAGTTTTTTCATCTCACCCTGTATATATATATATATCTATTTATCGATTACAGATATAGTCTTTAAATTCGGAGTGAATAACGGAATTCGGAGCCAAAATAATTTTGTCAAATTAAACTGAAATCGATTCAGATTTGGATCTAGCTCCCATATATTTTTTTTGCCGATTTCACATATCTGAGGCATCAAACACGATATGTTTGTCCAATTCCAATGAAATTCGGAAAGAATGACGGAATTTGGAGCAGAAATAATTTTGTCAATTTATATTGAAATCGGTTCAGGTTTTGATATAGCTCCCGTATATATTTCAGTGAATTTCATGTATTTTATGCACAAAACGCGATATGTTAGTCTGATTCCAATTAAATTCAGAATATGTGATGCAATTCGGTTCAAAAATAATTTTCCAAATTATATTGAAATCTGTTGAGGTTTGGATATATATTCCTATATATAGTTTCTGCCAATTTCGTATATTTGATGCACTAAATAAGCTATGTATCTCCAATTTCAATGAAATATGGAATGCGTGACGGAATTTGGCCCAAAAATAAATTTTGTTTAATTATATTGAAATCAGATTGGGATATGATTTTATTAGGAAGCTTTGACCCACAACGCCTTTGCAATGGTATTGGGCAGGTCAGCTGTTCCTGGCATGTTCACGCGTTTGTAGTATTGCAATAAATACGTTTTTTAAGTTCTTGAATTTGTTTTATTTTTCTTAAACCACAAAATATTCGTATATGTATATTAACTCAAAAAGGGTAGCGAAGCTCACCGGTTTCAGCTAGTCGAATATAAAATTAAAAAGTATTTCATTGAGTTTTTCTTTGAATAAAACAAAAGTCAATCGGACTTATTCCCAAGCCGATAAATATTATCATATATTTTTGCTTAGTTCCAGTACTTGCAAGAATGCACTAGCTTTTAATATTTTCGATATCATAAAAGGAAAATCGGTTATCGTAGCAAAAACTTTTATATTCTTGCAGTTCTGTTACTGTGATCTCCGATTATTCCTTCATGATATCGAAAACGATTGCAAAACTAGTAGATTCTTTTGGGTTCTGAAATAAAGCAAGTAATAAATATTTTAAATGTTTGTGATTTTGGAATTATTTGGCTACAGACATTTCAAATATTTTTGGCTTCACTCTAGTTTAGTAAAAACTGTCGGATTTTTTTTTTAATTTTTTTTCCCAAAGGTAGGTATTGGCCCGGCCTTCTAGACCGACAATATATGTATCGTTTGAAAGCCAATTAAAATACCTATCCAACAAGTGGTCACATGATTATTTAAAACTGTTCCGGACTTGTATCAAAATAATTAATTTTTTGGACCTGGATTTTTTCAAAAGTCCCCCAAAAGTCGAAATATGTCCCATTTTGGGAGTTCTCAACATTTATGTCAAATTATAGTTGACACTATAGCCTTTCCAAAATGCTACAATGGGCCTTTGGGTGTAAGAAAAATAAGTACAAAAGAAGCTGAGTTCGGCCGGGCCGCATTTTTAATACCCTCCACCATTTGGAAGGAACTTGAAAAATGTCAACAAATTCCGAAAAATACAGTTTAAATGGTGACCTTTATACGGGGGTTATTTTAAGATGTGAACCTGCATAAGTAATTTTTTCATAGGCTGTAGTACCCATTAAGATCTTCAAATATGAAATTTGAAACAATTCCGGCGAATAATGTCGCTAAGATCATCAAAATACCAAATGAAGGGAAGTACCGTTATATGGGAGCTATACGAAGACGTGGAACTGCATACGAAATTTTTTGTCATATGCTGTACTACCCATAAAGATCTTCAAATACGAAATTTCAAACAATTTCAGCGAATAATGTCGCTAAAATCACCAAAATACCGAATATCGGGGGTACCGTTATATGGGGGCTATTCGAAAATGTTGACCGACGTGGCCAAATTACGAACTTAACCTGCCTACTGATAAAATACATATGTGTGCAAAATGTCGGGAGGCCCGACTTATGATACCCTACGCCCCTTTGCATATTTAGTAGAGCCCCATACAACACATAAAAAATATAACAAATCGGATGAATAATATACAGGGTGAGATGAAAAAAACTGCAACCAACTTCAGACTGCTGTCATTTCTAAGCCACTCGTTCGACAGCTGTTAAAATTATTCCAGTGACAGCTCATTATATTGTTTACATGCGTACAAAAGCATTTTGATGAGAATTTTCCAGAGAAAAAGTTATTCGTGATGGAATTCAAGTCTGATAGTTTGATTTCTTTATATTGGGCTGGAAAACCACAAGTGGCTATCGTTAGAGCACTCCAGCATTTAAATGTGAATAAATCTTTTGTTGTGTCGTACCATCGCTCGTTACCGTGATACTGGTACTACGTTGCCCGACGTCAAGGAAGTGGACGGAAGAAAGCAGCAATATCAGCAAAGATGGTTCGAAAAGTAAAGAAGCGACTTGATCGAAACCCGTGTCGCAGTGGACGAAAAATGGCTCGTGAGCTGAATATATCGCAATATTACATTCGGCAAATATTGAAAAATGAGTTCGGGGCCATTGAAATTCCAAAAAGTGCAAGAACTTACACCGCAACAGAAAGAAAATAGACTCAATAGAGCTAAGAGTTGCATCGCTTAGCCGAAAGTGGTGAACAGCCGAATTTGGTTTTCTCTCTCTCTCTCTCCGTTGAGAAAACATTCCAGTCCAGCATTACAAACAAAATGATCGTGTTTACTTGCTAAAGAGGTGAGATGAAAATGTGAACGCCATAACAGCCGATGGTCGCTCTTCGCTCGTAATAAACGACCGTGGCATAAAAAAAAAATGCCGAATATTATCGCAAAAAAAAAAATGCTAAAGGGTTTATTAAAGCCTTGGGCACGTAAACATTTTCACCGCAGACCTTGGACATTCCAACAGGACTCAGCACCATCGCATTCAGCACGCTCCACCCAAGAATGGTTACAAAATGAGGTTCCTCGCTTCATTTCCAGCGCACAATGGCCACCAAAATCTCCGGATACCAATCCATTGGACTATTGTGTTTGGAGTATTTTGGAAAGCAAGGTTGGCACTAAAAAATACGAATCCAAATACCAAAATGTCAATCACCTTAAGCATGCACTTCGCCGGGAATAGGCCAAAATACCGGAGAGCAACATTCGGGCAGCGTGTGGCCGTTCCAAAGGTTACCATTTCGAACAAATCTAAACAAATTCTAAAATTTGATGCTATTTCCGACATTTTTTGCTTTCGTTCAATAAAATCGAAAACAAAATGTAAAAATTATGGCGTTTGACTTTGTTACATTTTTTGGTGGCTTCCACTATATTCGGTATTTTGATGATTTTTGCGACATTATTCACAGGAATTGGTTCAAATGAGAACAACAAACTGTGACAAAAAATTGTCTATGCAGGTGCAGGTCTTCGCATAGCCCCCATATAACGGTAATTTCCCATATTTGGTATTTTTATGATTTTAACGATAATACCCACCGGAATTGTTTCAAATTTCGTAAATTTAGTTCGTTCATAAAGTCATCTGTTTTTTTTTTTTTTTCGAAAAATATGGAGTAATACCTTTGTTTTTTACGAAAAAACCAGACGATGACTCATGTCACAAAAACCCCTCTTACGTATTCTCACAATTCTCTAACACTCATTCGACAACTTTTCAATGAAAACGAAAATCCAATAAAAAAAGATAAAACAAGTTAAAAGGGGTTTAAATTCGGCCGAGCCGAACTTAGGTCCATTTCTTCATATAGCCCAAATATAACTGCACCTCCCTATATTTGGTATTTTGATGATTTTAGGGACAATATTCACCGGAATTGTTCTAAATTTCGTATGTAAAGCTCGTAATGAGTACTACAACCTATTGACTATATAGGTCCACGGCTTCATATAGCCTCTGAAAAAAATATATAGCCATGACGAAAAATTGTATATGCAGGACCACGTCTACGTGTAGGCCCCCATATAACTATTTTCCTTTGAGCGGTATTTTTCGACGGAATTTTTTGGTCATTTTTCAAATTCCTTCAAAGTGGTGGAGGGTATTAAAAGTTTGATCCGGACGAACTTAGCTGCTTTTGTACTTGTTACATCTACCGATTTTCGGAGTTTAGGTAAGTTTTGATAATTTTTGCAGAATATTTTGATTTGATCGATCACATTTTAATGACGTTTTACAACGTTTTGGAGGAAGAGGATCAACAATTCGATTGAGGGTTAATTTGTTCTTCAAAAGGCACTGCATTCCTAATTTGCATAGATTCCAATGATCTTAGTTCTAGTATTTTGAAAATATGTTAAAATGGGCGGAACATCTCCGCCTTATTTAAGTTACCACCCGTTGTAAACTTTCATATTTTTAAATTTCGCGCAATTTTCGAAAACGATTGTTTTTGTCGCACAGTGTAGTTTAAGAAAATAATCAAAATAATTTCCGCGTATACGTTGATTGGGAAGTAACACACTTGCTTCTTTTCGATTTTAGCGGATATGAGTGTAATTTAACATTCTAGAATCCCAATATAGAGCCAAGAGTTTTTAGCATCCCCCCTTTATGGTATTCCTTTGTGGTACTTAGAAGGTCTTAATAAAAAAAAAAATAAATTAAACAATATATTTACTTACTTGCTGCACATCCAATGATGCTGTTTGATATCCATAATCCCAGTAGCAGTAGAAACCGTAAATCCATTTTATGTAAATTGCTGGAACCGCGCCTACTTCTGGACGGCCTTAGAGGTCGTTTTAAATTCATTTTTTTTCACAGATTTTATTTTTCTCAAAAATATTTTTCAGTATTTGTAAATTTCTATGGATCACACTGTAATTGCACTTTTGTAGAGATTTATTGATTTATTTTTTTATTTTCAAAAAAATCACATATTTCTGTTAAGCATCATGCGCCAACTCTATCGAATGCGGAAAGGTGATTAAGATTGGCTTTTACACAAACACAAATGCACACACACGCTCACGGAGGCACAAAGTGAAATTCTGAAAGATAATCACTGTTGAATCACATTGTATTGAATTTTCAATATTTTTTTGTATTTTGTATTTGATTGATTATTTTGTTGTTGTTGTATTGATTTCGTTGTTACGTTTTGAATTGGAAGAGAATTGCATTCGAATTGAAAACAAAAAATTGAGAAGGAATGAGAAAACAAAAACACCCATCAACCGCAATCCGTCCGCGCTTATTTTCGAAATACGAAGTTCAGTCTTATCCGTTCGAGTTCCTTAAGTAAACTATTCGTGCGCTGGACTTTTGTTGATTGGAATCGATGTTTGTGCTATTGTTGTTGTTGCTGCTGCTACTCACAATGTTTTTGTTGTTGTTGTTTACTCGGCCTGTTGTCTTCCTCTGCTTCTTCAAAACACATTCGTTTGTTTCATTTGCTGTTGTTGTTGGGTATTTTTTTTTGTTGTTTTTTAATTTCAGATAAATTCCCATTGTTGTTTTTCTTGTTTTTTTGTGTTTTTGTTGTTGTAGCTCTGTAGCTGCTGCCGCTGGACGTTATTTTACAAAAATATAACTCTTTTTTATCAATTAAATTTTTTTTGTTCAATTTTAAAACAAAAAGAAAAAAAAAAGAAGGCGCGAAGAAAACAAAAGAAAGAAACAAAATAAAATGAAATAAAATTGAAAAAAAAACAATCTGTTTATTTCAATTTCTTTCTTCTTTCGAGCAAAACGTTGACTGTATTCAAGCTGTGTTTCAATTTGGAACGTTATTTAAAAGCCGCTCATTTACATTGCATTGTAAACAATATCGGGAAGGTCTTCAACTTTTTTTTTCCAAATAGGGAATGCAATTTTAGCAAGGTTTTGGCTGTATATATGGAAGATCATTTGAGTATAGAAGAGAAGAGAGAAAGAGAGCCTTGAAATCATTTCGGTCCAAAGATGACATTTCAAAAAAAACTTATCTCTACAGAAGACTATTAAAAAGACTTTTATTCATGAAAGGCCTTTTAAAATATACATTTGTCCCAAAAAGGTCTTTAAGGAAGCCTTCGGTGTCCCTACAAAAAACCATTTTCAAAATATATAAACATTTGGGTTAGTAATATGTTGGGCGCCATTTTGAACTGAATTTTAGTTGACATTTGAAATCTTCTGTGTATAGAGGAGTTTTGAAATATTTTTTTTTGTCATCGAAGGGCCTTGCAATTTCTTGAGATTTAAAACAAGTAAAAAAGCTGTAAGTTCGGCCGGGCCGAACTTTTAATACCCTCCACCATTTGGTACAAATTTGGCAATTTCCAAAAAATAAAACCCGTTAAAAATTCTGTTAAAATCTTAAAAATACCGAATGCTTATACGACGACGTGGGCCTGCATAGGCAACTTTTGTCATAAATTATTACAATATTTAAATGCGAAACTTGAAGAAAAATCTGTTTATAATGTAGCTAAAATCGTCAAAATACCGAATATGGGGGTACCGTTATATGGGGGCTATACGAAGACGTGGACCTGCACAGACAATTTTCTGGCATGGGCTGAAGTATCCATTACGAACTTCACATACAAAATTTGAAACAATCCCTGTAAATAACGTCGCTAAAATCATTAAAATACCGAATATCGGGGGGTACCGTTATATGGGGGCTATATGATAACTTGGACCTACATGGCCCATTTACGAACTTAACCTGCCTACTGGGAAAAAATACATGTGTGCAAAATTTTAGCCTTCTATCTCAATTTGTTCGAAAGGTAGCGTGATTACAACAGACAGACAGACGGACAGACAGACAGACAGACAGACACACAGACAGACAGACGGACATGGCTAAATCGTCTTAGAATTTTACGCTGATCAAGAATATATATACTTTGTTGGGTCTGACATGAATATTTCGAGGAGTTACAAACGGAATGAAAATTAATATACCCTCCATAGTATGGTGGAGGGTATAAAAAAATCCTCTGCTGAAGAATCTCAAGAAAGCCTATTATTCATTGAACACCATTTAAAATGCACGTTTGTCCCTGGAAAGCCTTACGAAAACCTTTTAAATGTTCTATGTCTATAGATGACTATTCAAAGATATTCTGTCTAAAGAAGACCTACCAGATAGCAATGAATATTTTTAAAATTTTGTTTGTGGATGTCATTAGGTGCCACTTTCAGATTTTTATACCCTCAGCCTCAGAGAAGGTATATATCATTTGATACGGCCAAAAAATGTCTCATCGAAATAATGGTTTTAGACCCTAGGTCTTTTTGGGCCAAATCCGTTTCAGGGCATTTGTAGTCGATCATCGATGTCCGTCCGTCTGTCTGGCTGGTGCACACGGTAACTCTCGAAGGGAGTATTCGATTTGGTCCAAACTTGATACATCGTAATATTATCAAACTTAGATCTAGTTCGGAGATGGGCAATATCGGTCCACTCCTTCCGGTACCTTCCCCACAAAAGGTCGAAGTTTTCAAAACAAAAAAAAAAAAAATAAATAAATAAATAGAAAACATATTTTGCTGCACAGAAAGAGGGGTAATCCAATTTCGCTCCAACTTTGCAAATCCTAATATTTGCATCAGTGCTAGGTCAGGTGCAAAAAATGTGATATAAGTGTCCGATTGCCTTCAAACTACACACATCATAATATTTTTATTAACCCAAGGTCTGGGTTAATAAAAATATTATATAGGATTGCACCATTTCTTCTTCTCCACACATCCAATACTTATATCTGTCATAACTTGCGGCACAAGTCGGCGATTCTTTACAACTTGCTATATCTAAATATTTCTCTTAACCAGAAATCTGATATGAATATGTAATTTATCGGAATTTATGATTTCGCATAAAATTGGATATACATAAATCTTCTATTTACTTAAAATTTTGCACATACCAAGATTTTTATCTGTATCAGATGAAGTATATCTGTTACTTCACGCATATTTTCACATTTCCGAAAAATTTGCACATATGTCATATAAAGTACAAAAAGTAGTCGATATAGTCCAAATCTGGAACGTTGTAATATTTATATCAGTCATAGGTCAGATACGAAATGGTCAATATTGCCCAACTTCTTCGTAACCTCCCCCATAAAGGGTCAAGAGCATGAATAATAATAACTCAAGGCTGGTGGTATACATCTGTCGGCAAAACCGACCGATACTATTTTAATTGTTTAATTATTATGCCCAATATGTTGGGAGCCATTTTTTTACTAAGCTTTATCTCTTCGATTTAAAGAAGACATTGCATCGTAAACAATATTGGGAAGGTCTTCAACTTTTGGAATAGGGAATCCAAAGTTTAGCAAGGTCTTCTGTGGAGTTTTGAAATATTCGTTGATGCCTTAAAAACCATTCGGTTCGTAGATGACTTTTAGAAAACTTTTATTCTTAGAAGACCTTTTAAAATACAAAATAGTTTTAAATGTTCTTGGTCTATAGAAAAGTTTTCACAGATCTTTTGTCTATTGAGGACCTACCAGAGGTCTCTATAGACGATTTTTAAGACCCTCTGTCCATAGGCAGAGATCAAAGTTTTTGTTTGAGGATTTCATTGGACGCCATTTTCAATCTATATAAATATTATTCTACATTTTGTGTACCAAAATGTTGGGCGCCATTTTTTACAATTTGAATTTTTTTTTTTTTTTTTTGATATTTGAAATCTCTTCGGCTCAAAAGTGACATTTACAAAGTTTTTTATCTGCGCAAGACCTTTATAAAATACCTTTTAAGGCCGTTTATCCATAGAAGACGTTTTGACCTCTAAGATATGGGTTATTGAGAGAAAAATACCCAGGGACACAAATCATTTATTTTTGTGTGATCTTTAATCTAACGATTTCACTGGGCGCCATTTCCAAAAATATTAATATTATAGTAAATATTCAGAGGTCTTCAGTCTATAAGAGACATTTTAAGGCCTTCTGTCCGAAGAAGGCCTTTTAAAAGCTCTGTTATGTCTGTTACTGAGAGAAAAATACCCAGAAACACATATCGTTTTTTGTAAGATCCCTATTTGAACGATTCTATTGGGCACCATTTTGGATACCATACGTGTTAAGAATACTTTTAAATCGTTAAATCGAAGAAAAAAATATTGCCCAGATTAGCTGAAAATGGCGCCCAACCAAACAATATTTATAAAATTTATATAAATTGTTTATTTATTCATAATTTTATAAAAATGGCGGAAAATGTGATCGTTAAATTATAGATCAACCAAGAAATGCAATATGTGTCCCTGGATATTTGGCAGTGCATAGAAAACTATTCTTCGATTTTTGTATTTGTTGTGCGCCATTTTCAAGTAATCTTGATAATTTTTGACAATTGAAGACACTTCGGTTCACAGAAGACATTAACAAATGTTTGCGTCTACAAAATAACTTTCAAATGGATTCTATGTAAAAAAACTTTAAATCGTCTTCTGCCTATAAAATACCCTTTTAGTCCTTATGTCCACATAAGGCCCTTCATATGCTGTTATATGGGTTGCTGAGAGGAAAATACCCAGAGATCGAAGTTTTTATTTGATTCTAATCCATTGGGCGCCATTTTGAATACCATATGTGTGAAAAAACGCTTATAAACTTTTGATATGTTGGGCGCCATTGTCATCTAATCTTGATATTGTTTGTAATTTCGGATGACACGATGTAAAATCATGTTTAGTACTTTTATATTTGGATATATTACTATCTAAGTCTATCTAATTAAGTCTAATGATTCCATTGGGCGCCATTTTCCACTAATATTAATATTATTTAGTATTTTGAGTTTCTAACGTGAAGGTACCACTGTTCAATGATGGAACAGCATTGTGAAATATCCAGAGATCAAATTATGTGGATAAAACGCTTTTATAATACGTTGGGCGCCACTTTCCACTAGTCGTGATATTGTTTGGCCAACATTGAAATCTTTTTGGGTTTTCTCTACGGTAGACCTATAGAGTGTTTTCTATCAATATAAGATAAAGCCCCTTTAGTCTATAGAAGACCTTTTAAGGCCTTCTGTCCACAGAAAGCCTTTTAAATGTTCTGTTTTATGGGTTTCTGAGAGGAAAATACCCAGATATGATTTTTTTTATCTCTCTAACGATTCTATTGGGCGCCATGGAAAAAATGGAATAATTAGTATTAATTTTGGGTACCAAACGTGTGGACAAAATTCTTCAATTTTTGAATATGTTGGGCGCCATTATCTACTACTATTGATATTATTTAGTAAATATTAAAATCTCTTCGGTTTGTCTCTACGGGAGACCTTCTATCTATATATGATTTTTAAAAGGTCTTCAGTCTATAAAAGACGCTTAAGACCTTCTGACTTTCTGGTTACTGAGAGGGAAATATAAACTTTTTTATATGATCTCCATAACGATTCTATTGGCAGCCATTAACAAGAAAATAATGTAATTTGGCGTACCAATCTGCGGAAAG